CACACATTATCTCCCCACATGTCTTTTGGGGGTTATTTATTTTGCAGGATGTTTAACCCTTTCTAGCTATGCGTCACAGTCACCTAGTTCAGGGCAAAGAGGCTTGCAAAAGATCTGACCCATTATCTGCTGCTACTCTGGAGTGAAACGTTCTTAGTAGCCTTCTCACCCTGAGAGTGGGTCCAACATTTTTAAATTTCTAAACTTTTGGCTTGAGTGTATGGTCTTGCTCCAGTAACACACATCCTGAAGTTGCTTCAACCCATATTTCAGTGTTGTCTGTGCAGGATTAATTATACATTCCAAGTCCAAAATAAGGATAAAATACCTTCAAAACAGATACCATGAAGTCCATCTTGCACCATTACCCAATGGTACAGAAAAAACAAAGTTACCTCGTACCAGGTGACTTTCTAAGGCACAAACGAACTGTACTGAAAACCTTGGATAATTTTCAATGGTTGCATAAGTCAGCGTGGAGATGATTCTTAGTGTAGGTTTCACTGTATTGTTTTAGACATTAAACAGTATGCACCTCTATCCCAAGTGGCATAAAAATTTGGCTGAATGCTGACTCCCACATTTTTTCAAACTGAAGTCCAGGCATAGGGGATAAATGGAGACCATTGATTTGACGACAGGTTTTCTTCAGTTCTCTTTAACAAATGTTAATTTTGTTTGTGGTGGTATTGTTGCATGTTAAAAGAATCCTTTAATTTTTCTCTAGAAAACATTATGTAAAAGAGTTTCATGTGTTTTTTAAAGCTAGCAACAGATAGTAGTAATCTTATTGAAAGAATTTTTGGGGAGCTATGAAGGGTAGCAGTTCTCATTAAAATAGGGTTACCATACGTCCGGATTTTCCCGGACATGTCCAGCTTTTTGGGCTTCAAATCCTCGTCCGGGGAGAAATCCCCAAAAGCTGGACATGTCCGGGAAAATCGGGACATGCGGGGCCGGCGGTGCTGAGCCGGGGGCCGGGGCTGGGCCGGCGGTGCTGAGCCGGGGGCCGGGGGCTGGCCCGGGGCCGGCACCCAAGGGCCCGAGCCGACCCAGGCTGCAGACGCCGGGGGGGGGGGCCAGACTGGGGCCGCGCCTCCTCCCTCCCCTGCTTCAGGCTTCCCGCGAATCAAATGTTCGCGGGAAGCAGGGGAGGGGGCGGAGTTGGGGCGGGGACTTTGGGGAAGGGGTGGAGTTGGGGCGGGGCCGGGGGCGGGGCCCCGTGGAGTGTCCTCTTTTTGGACACTCAAAATATGGTAACCCTACATTAAAATGGCAATTTTTATATTTAATATTCACTTGGAGCCAAACGGTGGAGTCCTTCGTTATACAAAATGTCCATTAAA